TTGTTTAGATTTTAGTTTTTTTTTTTTTTTTTTAATCTCTTTTTTATCTCTCCACAGTCCACTGCATTTTCCGAGCGGAGTTTGAAGGCTCCCTCTAGAGGAGGGGCTCTGGTGGAGTCACATGGTCAGAGTGCGCATGCGCGGTGTGCGCCAGTAACGTGAACTAGTAGGAAACACCAGTGGGGGGGGAAAGGTGGACTAGCGAGAGATAAAGAGCAGAGGCAGGTTTGCGACGCAGAAATGATTTGATACACCACAAAGTAAGCGCGGAATAGTCTACATATCTCAAATACCAGTCTCGCTGATGTTGTTTCTTTTTTTTTTTTTTAGACTGGATTGATGACTTCAGGATAAAGCTCGTGTTCTTGGCTAGCCGCTGTAAGTTAGCTAGTTAGTTGTTAGTTAGACTTCCCTTTAATGCACGTACTGCTGCTATATCAACCGTAGCGCAGTAGTCATTTGAAGTGCAGTACTGTTTCCGTTTGGGAAATCAAATAATAACAAAGCAGGAGTGAATATAGAGAGAGGCTGTCGATGTGGCCTGCGTTTGATTGACAGTCATGGGAGGATGCGTGGGGCGAGAGCGCGAGGAGTCACGCAGACGAGCCTCGAGGACGCAGAGGAAACGTGGAGGTGAGAGAGTTTGGGACGTTTGCATGCTTAGTTGTTTCTGTCTATGGCTTTTCTTGAAAACATGCAAATATCAGGTGCATTGACTTAACCTGATGTGGGATCAAAAGACAAAAAACATAAACAAAAAATACCACCATGTTGCAAGCTATTATATGTGAACTTACAAATGGTATGCCTGTGGCACTTAGATACCGTAGGCTTGCCATCAATATAATAGGACAGTATATTTTTCTAAAGAATGTTTGTTTTCTTATGCAAGGATTTTTTTAAGGCTGCACTTAAAATTATTTTAATAAATTAATTATTTAATTAGCAGTTATTAAATATATGCATATTTCAGATGTATTAAATCCCACAATATATCAAAACAAAAAAGTGCCATGGTATTGCACACGCATGCACATTATTTTATATGTTTGCACTATGGTATTCTTTGAAATATATTGATTACATGTAAATACTATGTTGTGTGTGTGTATGTGTATGTATATATATATATATATATATATATCAAATTGCAATGGTTTTACAGTATATTTTTAGTAAGAGATGTTCGTTTTCATACTACCTTACTCAAAAATAATAAAGTTTTGCAAATTTGGGAGCAACAGTCAAGACCACCAGCAAAATTACCATGTTTTTGGACATGTTTCCATGTTACATAAAGGTATTATAAACATCAAGGTTCATAAATATGTGAACTTATCATATATAGTACACCTCTAGTACTTTGATATATGTATCAAAGTAACATATGCTTACAATCACTGTTCCACAGTATCACCACAGTACATTTTTCTAAGAAATGTTTGTTTTCTTATGCAGTATTTATTGTCACTGTACTTGAAATGTGCACATTTCAGATGTATTGAGAGCAACACTTCTCGAGACACTTCTGCTTTTCATCGTTGTTGAAGTTCCACTTCCCTTTACTGCCTCGGGTCTCCAGCAGTCAATGTTAAATAAGATGTTTTCTAGCACTACTGTGTTTCTTTGTCACAGTATGTAGGTATAGATTTGATTTGATCATATGGGCCCTTAGAAACATTATCTGAACATTATCTACTCTTATGGCGTATCTGTTTTTCTTCTCCTGTGTGCATGTTGGAGCTGGTAGTCGTGTCCCGTCTCGGGCCATGTCTCTGCATGTTTGCTTCATGTGACCGTCGTGCCTGCTGTTTTTGCGTTTACCGTAAGCTGTAGTGAAACATAATTGGATAGAAAGCCCCAACATTTTGTTTCCATTGAAGTAGTGCTGGGCGGTATGACCAAAAATTTATATCACGGTATTTTTGAAGGAAACCCCATTGCATTATATCAGGGACGTGTTTGACTTCTATCAGTGAAAGTCTTGTGGCCACAGACGTCTTGCGGCCGGTATCAGTGTATTGTAGTGTTATCTGTGCTTCAGCATGTTGTGTGTGTCTTGCTTTGAACAGGAGATTAGATTTTCATTGATACGTGGGCTGTATATTACGTGACCGTTGCCTGAAGACAATGCATCTCTCCAGTCTGTTTCTGCAGCAGAGCAAATTTTGGGAAATGTATTAAATAACAGCAATTCATTCTCAAGAGAGATATCAGCCCTAAACAATAATGAAAATAAATGAGCTACAATTTAGCAAGCAAATTAACTTTGCATAAATAACAAAAACGGCAATATAATAATAAATTGTTGTTATTATTATTATTATTACTACCAAAGCAAAGTTTTGGAAGTTAAAATCTTTTTAAAGATTATTAATAATATTAATAAAAGATTTGCAATTAATATGAAATTCATATTCATAAGAGTTGTTAGTTCGTGAATCTGAGTACACAATAATTATTATTACCGGATTGAATTTTGGGTTCAAAACTTTTTAAAGAATTATTGTTGTTGTTACTTGAGCTTTGAACTTCTCAAACTTTTCTTAATAATAAAAATAAAATGTGTGTGTGTGATATAAAATTATATAAATATAAAATAAAATATAAAATATTCTGAATGTGCATGTAACATTTGTGAGTGTTCTTGACTCAAATCCATTCATAAGTGTAATTTTTTTTGTAAATTTGATTACAAGACTATTATTATTGTTGTTATTATTATATTAGTAGTAGTAGTATTACCAGAGCAAAGTTTGAGAAGTTCAAATCTTTTTAAAGAATTATTATTATTAGCCTACTTATTTTAAAGGTTTTGTACTTCTCAAACGTTTATGAATAACAATAAAAATATCCATAATGCACATATAAGTCAGATTTGGGAGTGTTTTTGACTAAGTTTTGACGAGTGTTTTCATAAGTGTCATTTGTTTTGAATCAGACTGCACTGCTTGTGCTGTATATTTGTTGTTGTGGTCTCAGCGAGGACAAAGATTCATTTTTGGTGCTTTAGCCCTACTCGCACGGGAGTATATATCTGGGGACTTTGTGTGATTTAGAAATTACCCCCCCACATCTGAATTTCGTGTGGCGCATTCACACAGGATAAGCAAAGCCTGTGATTTTACTTAAACTTACTGACTTACCTGCGCTCTCCATGAAAACGCGGAAGGATAAATGGATTTCCAGCACTGAAAATCACTTGCAGTAGCTCTGCTACTAAATTTATACAAATTTTTTTTAAAAATGGCTATCTCTGTACAGCTATGATCAACTGTTCCTCCATCTTGGCTGAGCTTTCAATGTTGTTATGGAGAGATTGAAGGTGATTGGTTGGTTCTTGTCACATGATCTGCGGTGCGCTTGTGGCATTCTGAAAAGTTGAGATGTTTTTATGTCGCTGTGGCGCAGACTGCCTGGAAAAAATCGCGATTCGACAGAAGCTGCGATTGTCATGCGTATCTTTCAGTGAAGCACGGTTCTGTGATCGTGAACGATTTCTTTGAATTCATAATCGCGCAATAAAATCATCTGCGATTTATTTTTTTTATTTTTTTGCGTAACTTGTCAGTGAACTACGGCTCTGTGTAGTAAACGCTGCTCCATCTGAAAGCACGTGATGACGATTTCATAATAGCGCAATAAAATCATCTGCGATTTTTTTTATTTTTTTTTTGCGTAGCTTGTCAGTGAACTACGGCTCTGTGTAGTAAACGCTGCTCCATCTGAAAGCACGTGATGATGATTTACTGCTGATTACAGAACCAGCTTTACTAACAAAATGCGCATGACAATCACATTCGATTAATCGTGCAGCCCTATACGCAATTATCACAAATGCCTAGAGGTCACCAGGTAATACTAATCCCGTGCGAATAGGGCTTTTGTTGTATTTTGTGGCACCCAGTCTTTCGCTCTCATTGCATTCAGTTCGACTGCATATTTAAAACGCTTAAACAGTCACAGAACCAAATGTCATAAAAATGCATTTTACAGCACTTTCACAACAAATTAACCAGTTCTGAGGAAGAGTCGCACATCATTCTGTGATGCTGCAAGAGGAAGCGGGAACATCTCATGAGGAGGAGGAGGATCCGTCGCTGCTTGTGATGAGTGTGTGAATTAGGGCTGCACGATAGTGCAAAAAATCGCGCGAATATGAACGTGGTTTTGCGCGGCTCTGTGTAGTTAATGCTGCTCAATGTGAAAGCACGCAGGTGATGGAAATTTACCGCTGATTACAGAACCGGATTTCTGACAAGATGCGCGTTAAATATCGCATGCGATTTATCGTGCAGCCCTAGTGTGAATGTAACGAGAGAATTACATGAGAAGAAAGCAACTTTACTCGGCACCTTAGAGCTCCTGGACTTAAGACAGCAAGAGAGCCATTTACATGTCATTTGATTGAGGTGCTGAACTTTGACAGTCACATTCTGCATTACACACCCACATTTTCTCTTGTTGTTGTGGTTTAAGTCATAATGATAAAGTGGAATAGGCTCTTTGACCTTAGATGTTTATGTCACTGACTAGATCACATGCTCCTTCCATCTAGCCGCGCGTGTTGCGAAAGATTTTATAGTTATTTTTAAAATGTGCAGACTAGTCTTCAAGTGTGCAAACTGTATCAAAGGGCGACAGAGTGACAGCCAATGAAATCACGAGAAAATGAAAGAAACGGGCATCAAGCACTTGGCTTCTGGGAATGTTTAGAGTTCTTCACATTGTCAGTGGTCTCTTTTATTTGACCAAAGCACTGGATTGTAAACACAGCCATTTGTCTACATTTCTCTGCCTGTCACTTTATTGGATTAACCCTATAAATACAGTAACATATTTGATGCACACATTTCTAAGGCTTCTAAATGATCAGCACGATTAAAACTTTGCTGAGAAACTTGTTGCACACAATCTACTCCATCGTCTGATTGATAGTTTAGACTTTTTTTTGTTTTTTAGCAAGTAAAAGTGTAATTGTATAAACAACCACCTTCAGCTCATGATTCACATGTCTTTTTGCTGTCAAATCTTTGTAAAGTAAATGTAACAATTTGATATTGTTAGTAATATTTCAAGATGAACTGGACTGAAGCAACTTAGCTTTACTTGATTATCCAGACATCTCTTTTTAGAGTATCAGATATGATCATCAGGCTTTTGAGAAACATTTATTTGTTCATCTCTCAATCATCATTGTATTGCGTTATATTATTTTTTGATCATAAAACTAAGCATTTAAAAATCATCTTACTAAGATATATTTTAGAGCTATAGAGTGACATAATTTTATCTTACATTTGGGTCATATAAATATCAGCATCTGCACCAAACTTCATATTTTTGCGTGGTTTGAGCTCCATAATCTCACTAAATTATACTATATGAGCCATAAAATGCCCGATTTATCAAACATGATACTCAACAAAAAGCACATTTGCAAACTTTTAATAATTAGTCTATAGGTTCTATAAATTTTTCTGACTATTATTTTTTTTATATGACATTCTTTACCGTGTTAAGCTGGTTTCGAGGACCAGACTTACTGTAATACCTAAGTTTCTAAATGTTGATGATACTCATCCACTCCCTCCATCATTGTAATGTCAGGTGGAGTGAAGTGTTCTGAGTGGAACAGCGCTATAAATCATCACACAATGTGTCCTGATGATTATTTCTTACACCTTTATGTTATAAATAATGTGTTTGTGTGAAAGGTGTCCATTTGAATAGTTGGCACCAGTCAAAGCAGCGTGAGGATGGGAAAGCACTGAGTCACCTACTATCTCGCCATCAGTGTGAACTTCCTTATTTCTGTAGCAGGTTTATTGCTAGAGGTGATTGCTTAGGCAAGCATCACTATTACTATTGTTCATACTAGGGATGTCAATTTTCGATCATTTCCATGATCGATCGTCGTTTAAATTAACGATCAATTAATCGATTAATCGTTAACTTTAATGCAGCAACATGCGTGTATTGCAGCAGCACGCAGTCACCGGCATGACAGGATGGCTTTCCGGTAGGCCTATTTGTTTTTTTTTAAATCCTACATTTACAATGCATTAGATCACATGCGTGCGTGCATACGAGACTGAGTGAGCGCGGGTTTGGATAGATGTATTTGGAGGTTATTACTCACGTCTCATTCGGCACAAATCCAAATGTTTCCATATTCGCAATGTATTTGAATGTTAAACTATTAATTATAATGTAAACTAGGCTTGTACTTTACACGCATTCGCATATAGACGGAAAAGATCATCCTCTTCACATGAGCAAAAACGTCCTTACAACTATTACACTTAATAACGTAGATGAAAATATAGCACAAATCTGCCATACATTTATAATGAGAACTTTATAGAAATCTATAGTAAATTCTGTCCTTGCCCATCTTTCAGCGCGCTGTCATGAAAACGCATCACGGCGGGAGCTCGCTCTCTCTCTCTTTCTCCGTCTAGCGCATAACTTAGCATCCTATTGTGCAGATACAAGCTGTAATGTTACGTCTGCTATGTATCTAAGTTATCTGATTTATCATAGGATGTGTCATAGAATGAGCTTCAGTTTATTGGCATAAAGTCACTCTTCACCTCAGGCAGCTATTCCATACTAAGGGCTATGGGAGGTTTAATGCGTGTGGATTGGTCAAATTGCTGCTAAATCTTCTAAACATTACTTATTGGACATTTGCATTCGTGGTATCTGTAGCCTTATGGTTTCTTGGTGGTTTTCTGGAAGCCTTGAGAATAAATAATATGAAGCCGACATTATGCAGTACAGTGGTTGAGCGATGTACCGCAAAGGCCGATATATCAGACAATATTAGGAGAATATAGGAGCGCTCATTCTCAGTCTTCATTAGTTTACGGTGTTTGTTTAACAGTTCAGTCTAAAAATAGTGGGGGCGTATTAGAACGAGCCGTTTTAGGTAGGCGTGGTTGGCTCTTAACTTTTATAAAGAATATCTCTTTGGATTTGAGACTTTAGTCTTTGCAACTTTACAGATCTTCTTTATGCACCAAGAGCTTGTAACACTCCAAAGAGAAAGGAAAACTTGAAATCGCATCATATGACCCCTTTAACAATACTATTTGTAGACAGTTGTTGATAATGTGAACTGTTCATTTCAGCCCTAATGCAAACACCCAGAGTCTTTGTTGTAATCTTAAGCATTATCCAGTAATATGTGTGTTGGGCTCAACATATGATTGTTGATTCAAAACAGCAGCTCTGTTTGACCGGATGACTTCAGGGTCAGGAGGTGCTGTTTGGAGTTTGCCTTCAGGGTTGTTGATGGATGTGAGCTGGATGGATGAAGGCTGTTATTTTTTGCCTGAAGTGATCAGTCATTGGGGAGGGCAGTATTTACAGACAAACAGTCATAAATACACAACCTTTACTCAGTCATGTGAATATGAGGGAGTGTATAGTTTACTTCTGCTTTAACCTGTCTATCACTATATCACTGTGTCTATCACTTAATTTGATATGTAGTCAGGTACAATTAATTATATTTAATAATACATCATTGGACCAAACTATATGTAAGCTTAATGTATAACTATATAATCTCATATAGATGTAAGATTTATTTTCTTCTGCTCACCAAGGCTGCATTTCTTTGATTAAAAATACATTAAAAACAGCAATATTGTGAAATATTATTTCAATTTAAAATAACTGTTTTCTATATGAATATCTGTTAAAATGTAATTTATTGCTGTGATCAAAGCTGAATATTCAGCATCATTCCTCCAGTCTTCAGTGTCACATGATCTTCAGAAATCATTCTTAAATGCTGGTGTTCTTCTTAAGAAACAATCCTGATTATTATCAATGTTGAAAACAGTTTTCAGTTTTTTATTTTTTTGGAAAACATGATGCATTTTCAGGATTTTTGATTAATAGAAAGTTCAAAAGAACAGCTTTTATTTAACATATAAATCTTTTGTAACGTTATAAATGTCTTCTGATAATTTTATGCATCCTTGCTGAATGAAAGTATTCATTTTTTTTTTTTGAAAGGTAGTGTATGTGTGTAAATATTTATTTATTATTAAATTATTATATTTTTGTAGCCATAGGTGACAAAATAAGCTCTTTCTACTTTTAATGAAGTTTTTCTTCAAAGTTTTCCTCCCCGGTATTCCATTATACTATAATCGTTCGAAAGCACTAAACGTCAATTCTTGTTTATTACACTCGTTTATTGCTTTTACATTGCACCCAGTCTCCTGTTTGTTGCCCAGTTGAGGCATTAGTGAAAGTACTGATGGAAAATACAAATGGAAAGTTTTTGTCGGCCTGCATTAGTGAAGTCATACATGCTTTTGCTGTGGAACCGCATGTTCGTTTGATTTGAAAACTAACCTCATCATAATTCATCGGAATAGTACAATTCTGGCATAATGGTCAGAAATAATGTGGTCTTCTCTTTGATCCTCATGAATCATCAAAGCTACTTTCTACAGCCGTTATTCCAGGAAATGCTGTATAGCCTACGCTTCTCACACATTCGTGGTCATTCACACCTCATCTGCGTCTACAGGTCGTAATGAGCCGCTGAAGAAAGACAAGCTGAAATGGAAGAGCGATTACCCCATGACGGAGGGCCAGCTCCGCAGTAAGAGAGATGAGTTTTGGGACACGGCTCCAGCGTTCGAGGGGCGCAAGGAGATCTGGGATGCCCTGAAAGCCGCCGCTGTGGCTCTGGAGTGTAACGATCATGAACTGGCTCAGGCTATCGTGGACGGAGCCAACATCACATTACCACACGGTGAGAGTCGTTACACTGAAGTGCCGTGTCACTGATTGGTTGTGATGAAACCAGCTTTGTCTGCAACTGTGGAACAGAACATGAGAAATGTTCATGCTGCTCTTTTTCATTAAACAAATGCAGTGACGAGGTGCTTCCAAATGTTTCCATATTCGCAATGTAACGTTTGGGTTGCAGTACTTATTTATTATGTAAATAAGGCTTTGTAGTTCACTCGTGTCTCAATATCCACGTTAAACCACAACCTTTACATGTGCAAATCGCTTTGGAATAATTGCAGCATGTTTCAGATGATAAAATAAGGCAACTTAAATTTACATTGCAAATTTAAAATTACGTTGCGATTGGTCAAATGACAAAAGATCCAATGCTTTTTGTCATCAATAAAGTGTCTGCACAAACTTCGAAATGTTTGATTACTTTCAAGTATCTTTATGACTATTTTCAAATATTTTAATAAAATGTTTTTATTAAAATATTTGTGTATTTATTAGATTTTTTATTTTTTTATCAAATAAACATTTATCCTTTTAAATACCCTACTGTTTTTTTTATAACCTAACCCTTATTATTGGTCCAGACGGGAAGTTTTTACCATAATGAAGAAGTATTTAATGACATGAAAACAAAAGAAATGACAACACGCATCAACCCTCATTGTTATACCTGTAACACTTTATTTCCCCATCACTGACGATTGTTTGTACTTTCAATCACTCCAGGATCCCTGACCGAGTGTTACGACGAACTCGGCAACCGCTACCAGCTACCGGTTTATTGCCTGGCCCCGCCTGTCAACCTGATTACAGAAAGAAGTGAGGAAGACCTGTCGGACAACCGCCCTGAAAGCCGCCGCTGTGGCTCTGGAGTGTACCGATCATGACCTGGCTCAGGCTATCGTGGACGGAGCCAACATCACATTACCACACGGTGAGAGTCGTTACACTGAAGTGCTGTGTCACTGATTGGTTGTGATGAAACCAGCTTTGTCTGCAACTGTGGAACAGAAAATGAGAAATGTTTATGCTGCTCTTTTTCATTAAACAAATGCAGTGACGAGGTGCTATATTGTGCAATAAGCTAAATTTAATTTACTATTTTGACTTGAAAAAAGTCACACCTGGTCAAAATTGGGTCAAAACCCTTCATTTTATATTACATGTGCTTACTGTTGTAATAACAGCACATTATGCATAATTACATGCAACTAACCATAACAATAACAAACCCTAATCCTGACCCTGTAGCAAGTGTGTGCTGTTAATTAATATTGCTCAGTACTAAATTGTATAATTATACTGTAATAAGGACTCCTTAAAATAGTGTAACCCAAAATTGCATTGTTGAGAGAAAAACAAGTTGCACCAGTGCTTGTCGCATTTTATTATTACATTCAGAAATAATGTAAAATATCAGTAAATAAAATGCAAAAATGTATTAATGCTATAAAAGTATATTAGTTTCCCTCATTTCACAAAAAACATGTGGGAAATGTGCTAAACAAATAAACCTGACTTGCCTTACCATGCCTGTCAGGCCCAAACTGTGTTCAAGTTGAATGTGAGGAGAGATCAAAAACCGAAACCCAAGCAATAAAATATGTTTGTACTAACGCACAAACCAGTCAATTCTTGTTCTTGTTGCATTGACCGATATTTACCGTCATTTACAAACAAAAAACCCCACAGAAGGTAAGACATGAGTAATTGGGAAGAGAAACGAGAGTCCATCTGTTGTCCAGTGGAATAACTTATAGGATCTTGTTAAAATAGTGGTGAAATTATTATTATTATTTTTTTAATTAGGAGAGCATCTCATTAAATAAAGGTTAAAGCAGACATATGGCCTAATCCAAGTGGGTGGATCTCTCATTTGTTATGAATCCAAATTAGGGCTGCACGATAAATATCGCACGATATTTAATGCGCATCTCGTCAGTAAAGCCGGTTCTGTAATCAGCGGTAAATCTCTACACGTGCGTGCTTTCACGTGGAGCAGCATTAACTACACAGAGCCGTTGTTCACAGACAAGCTGCGCAAAACCACGATCATATTTTGCGCATGTTTTGCGCAGCTGTGAACAACGGCTCTGTGTAGTAAATGCTGCTTCATGTGAAATCACGCACGTGATGGAGATTTACCACTGATTACAGAACCAGCTTTACTGACAAAATGCGCATTAAATATTGCATGCGATTTATCGTGCAGCCCTACTTTCCATAGAGCCAAACTGACCACAATATGTGCCAGTCCTAAATTATCATCAAGCAATAAGTCATCTTGGATTTATGCATCTTACAGGCTTTAATT